TGCTTTTTAAAAAATTCACTTTATATTATGTTTGCATACAAATGATGTTAAATTAATGCAATGTGTGTTATGAATATATGATAATCTGCTGCATATCATGTAATAAAATCATTTGTTTTCTTGTCTGTTTAGATATTCAAAAATGAGCGCTGCCTTTGAGAAGATTTCCACACAGGAGAGGATCACAGAAGACTGTACTGTCCTGCCTTTGAACTGCATGATCTTTAATGAATGCGTGAACCTGTTCAAAAGAGTTACTGTGAACGCAGAGAAGGAAAAAAGGCATGTCTGCAAATGTACAGTTCTGTCGTTTTTGGTATTTTTCCTGTCTAAGACAAGCTGTCTTCTGCTTACAGTAGAGGTGAGTGTCAGATTTGCGACCTGGGATCTGAATTTAGAACATTGCAACAACTATTTGCGTTCTTGTGGAGAGAATATATTTCTGCTCATGCCAGATTAGCATCAAATGCATTCATGATCTTATGTATTTGTTTGTAATTTTCCTTCATGCAGATAAAACATGATAATCAAAGTCTCCTCCTGAGGTCTGTGGCTCGCTGCGCTCACGTCATTACACTTGTTCTAGTGTGCGACAGGAAAACGATGGATTGTTTCTGCATCTGTGGGGTGTGCGACCTTGAGGTCAAAATGCTGATGCACAGAGAACTTAGACCTGGATTTTCAGAATGCCTTATCTTCATACTGTCTGACAGCCAAGTGAGTCCGATGTCCTCTGAAGGATCAAAGAGAGCTCACATCAGGATCCGTTGTGTTAAGGTGTGTGTGTGTGAAGCCTTGTTCTGTGAAGGAGAATATGTTTCACAGTAACATCAGATACTAAACTGTACAAACACAATTATTTCAGCCATGAATTTTGGTTTTAGTTAAGCTTATAAGAGCAGGTATGAGGCTTCATTTTATCTTCAGAGATACACACTAAATATTTCTTGTGTGTTTCTGCATGATTTGCATGTTTTTTTGGGGGGGGAGGAGGGTTGCATTATACTGATATATTGGGATAAAGCGCATCTTATAGAAATTCAATCAGGAAATCATTTATGGATTAAATAGACAAATGGGAATGTCTATTTTTTCTTGACTAATTCAACGATCCTATATGCACTGATTCAAATATTCTAATAATCTGATATGAACATGAAGTAGTAACCACAATAAAAACAGCATAGAAACACTTAAGAAATATCATCACAGCTCTCATATCTCCCATCTGCATGAATTTATAATGAGCACACAGTAATTAACTTGAAATCTTTCATCAACAGATGCCACCTAATTCAACACAATATCCAAAAGAAGCATTTCTAACACCAACAGGTAAAAAAACAACTAAACCAACAAATTTGCCCTTCTTTACAAAACACCCTGTTTAAATTTTCTTGCACCATTAAATAATCGTATAAATCTTTCTTTTTCTGTAGATGTCATTAAATTCCCTGCTCGCACAAGAAGGCTGAAAACTGTTCGGCCCACAGACTCCAGCAGACGGACTGGAAGACTTTTCCTGGCGTCTGTCTTGCCACTTGCAGTCTACATGACGAGAATGAAAATGTCATCAAACAGAGTCGGTCCTGCTCATGACAATAACTCCACAATCGTGAGGCTTTTTGCTGTGACACTGAGCTGCTTTTCACCATCAGTCTCCATCTACCGGCTGTCTGAGTGGTCCATTATCGCCGTCGGCCTCTGCTGCGCTCTTGGGAGGAAAGTGCACGTGTTAATTGCCTGCAAGGCTGCTCATACTGTCATGAAACGGCTTTGTCCCGTACAGCAGCAAGTTAGGGCTCTCCCTGTCACTGTGTTGTGTCTCTGGCTGGCTTTTAGTGCTCCTTTTTCAAATAAGAACATGAGCCACTGGTCCACAGATGTACTTGTTGAGGACAATGTGGGATCAACACTAAGATCCTGGGCTCTGTCAGGGCACATAGAGCTTCTAGCCACTTTGTACTGTGTGTTTGTTTCCCTTCCCAGTTTGCTGCGATCCATCCTGACCAAGCTGAATTTTTTGAGCGTCGTCTTTCACCTGCAAGTGGTTATGTGCCTACAGAATTCAAGGATGCCAACAAAGTATGTATTGGTTATTAGGATCAGTGGGTTAATTCAAAGCATACCTCTGTACCATTGAAGCTGTCATATGCAAATGTGAACATGAAACATAAAATCAGGAAACGTTTAAGATGTAAAATTGAATCCATCAGTGTCAATTTTCCACTAATTTCTTGTTTGTTTTTTTTTTGTTATATTAAACCTTTACACCATTAAATGTGCTGCTTTAATGACCTGGTTTAGGAGTGATTTTGACATAAATATAAGAAATGCATTTTCTTTTTAAAAAAAAAAAAAAAAAAGGATAAAAGGCTGCAAAAATCTAAATTTGTACATTAGTTAACAGTTAATTATATTAATGTAATGCAGCTTTTGTGAATACCGTTTTTTTTTTTTTATTTGGCTTTTTTTTTTAATTTAATTTTTTATAAGCTCTGCTAAATATTTTACACATTTTGTGACTGAAAAAAAAAATGTTGCAAACAAAATCTTGCAAGTATTCTCTTAAATTTTATATGAACATTCAAAGAATTGGCATTATCATGACAGAGCAACGTAAAACTGCACAGTAACAACACTGCAGCTGAATACATTACAATAATAAGATTATTTATTAATTTGGCATAAATACTCATTTATTATTCTTATTCTTATTCTTGGTTTTAGACATTACAAATATACTTTAGTGTTGAAATGTGTAAGTATTCTTCTTTACAGTGCCAGTGGGTTTTTGGATGATACTTAGTTATGAGTTTATGTGAATGAAATAATGACTGTTGTTATGATTCTGTGTGTCTTGTGTCATTTAATATTCAGAGTGACACACTGGTTGCATGTTGTAAGATGAAAGTAAACCATATTTCAACCAAGCAAAATCCTCTTGGGCTGAAAAAAAAATGAAGCATATGCTCAAGTGCCAAAACCTGCAATTTTTCATTTAGTCACTTGAGATTTGGTCCAAAGTGGGTCCCAATAGACCCCCATGTTAAAATTCTTACAGCAGAAACAAACATGTTTACAGCCTGTCACAAAACACTTTGGGTCTTTACAGGTAATTTCCCAGTTAAATACAACTGTATGAAGGTGTATTTTTGTTATAAAATATACTCATTTAAATCATATTAAGGCCTACAATTATGCATCATCAGATTCACTCCTGAATCACCTCTTTGCTCATTTTTGGATTAGCTGGGAGTTGTGAGGAGTCAGGTGCTGTCAAAATGACAGTCTTATCCATCTTTATACACAGTCTGTGATGTAAACTAGACAGTCCTCCAACAAAGATCCAGAATTTAATGTCTCACAGTTCAGCTTCGGTTCAGTCAGTCGTCGTCACTGACTAATTTTTGTTCACTTTAATCCCAGAGCTAAGCAGTCACGTCATCATTTAGATGCTCCGCTGCTCACATATGAGCACATCTCTGCACCAGACTCACACCAGTATTCAGTGTCATGAGTTCAGCACTCTGTTGAGTTGTCAGGTTCTGTTCGGTACAAAACTAGCCTATACGAGCACTGTGCATGAGGAATTCGGCCTATTGTTATTTATCGTGCTACGTCACATTATTTATTAGGGCTTTTGGTAAGACTGGATTCACATAATTTAGTCTGTAGGAGTGATCTCTGGCTGCTCTTTTCAAAACGTTGAAGTTTGACTGAAAAAGATGCTGAATAACAAGGAACAATCAGGCCATCCCCATGCATCACAGCTCAATGCAGAGTGCAGAAATTGAATTTAAACTGAATTCTCACTTTTTTTTCTGCCTAAACATAAACAAAGCCCTTAATAAATCACCACAAAAAATGACTTTCTGTATTGGATGGTAGGTGAGTTGATCATTTAATTTTATGCAATCACAGTATACTGTGAAGAATTTCTGTCAAGAATTCCCTCATAGTAAGTGCAATTTTAAACTACATATCTATTTAGAACATCTAATTAGCTGATGTCACGTTAATAAATGTAAATTAAAAATACTCCCAAACATGGCCTGCACAGTTTCACAGTTTCAAGATTCCATAAAACCACAATTTTCCTTGATTTGACCCACACTGGTAGAACTAAAAATCCATCTCAGTAGATACACGTCAGATTGAACTTGAAACAGCCTCACAGTACAACAATTTAAGTGACTAAAATGTTAAAATATTTTAATTTTTGTGTGTTTTGGGTCACTTTAGGAAAAGTCATCAAAATAATGCTAAAAGATCTGACATTAACGGTATTTTTACTGATGTCAAATGTCAAAATTTGATCCGAACAGTACGTAAGGGTTAAAAATAAACTTCACTGCTCTGAAACTCTGCTTTAGTAACATGCAGACAGGAGACTTTTATTATTTAACAGAGCTACCAGCCTTCTCTGAATGAAATCTAACAATTACTGCACAATACAGGATCTCCACAACACCTTCAGCATGTCTTAAAGCACTTGTGTAGAATTTCAGACCTCATGTCAATCATCAGGATCTGTCTCAGTGAAAAACAAAATAATCTTCTGAGAATTGGGAATGTGCTCACATTGGCTGCTGATATTTCTCTTACGCTGGGAAAAAGCTATAAAGGTCAACTCCCAGGTCACAGCCACTTCAGTGAAGGGGAGGGTGGCTCGTGATGGGTTGGATCACTATTGTCTTTTTCACCCTGCTGGCAAGAATAAAGTCAGAAAACCAAACATGCAAACTGATCGGGCAGACGGGGTACATGGAATTCTCTAAAGAAGGTGATCTCATGATTGGAGGAATTTTCTCTATGACTAGTACACGGAAGCTGGTAGATACCGCCTACCAGGAACTTCCATATAGCTACTGCACTAGGTAAGTGGATAAGCTTAAAACATGTATGTTATGTTGATGCTTTTCGTCTGATGTGTTGCAAGATGATCAGCTGAGTTCACAAAGTGTCGACGCTGTGTTTGCAGGTGGAATGACAGGGAGTTGAGGTTTGCCAGGACAATGATTTTTACTGTGGAGGAGATCAACAGAGATAATACGCTTCTTCCCGGAGTGAGTCTTGGCTACAGGTTGTACAACGGCTGTGGGAGTGAAAACCTGATTCGAGCGGCCATAGAAGCTGTGAACGGAGAGGATTCGAGGGGCTGCAGCAGTAAGATCCAGGCTGTCTTAGGCCATTCGTCCTCTGGAGTGAGCAAAGTCATAAACAGAATACTGAGCTCGCTGTCAATCCCACAGGTGAGATGAAATCTGTAAAATCCATCTGTGAAAAATATACAGCCATGTTGTGTTTATTAAGTTTTTTTTTTCTTTTTCTTTTTTCATTAAAGGTGAGCCATCTCTCCACCTGCGCTTGTTTAAGTGACAAAAGACAGTACCCCACATTCTTCAGGACTGTGCCAAGTGACCGCTTCCAAATCACTGGCCTGGTGCAGCTTATGAAGTACTTTGACTGGCGCTGGGTGGGGATTATTTATTCTACAGGTTTATACTCAGAAGAAGGCACAACTGAGTTTGTTAAGGATGCTGGGAAAGAGGGCATATGTGTTGAATACAGCCTGCTTTACTCAAAGTCAAATGAAAAAAGGTTTGACACTGTTATAGCCACACTCAGAAAATCCTCGGCCAAAGTGGTCCTGTTGTTTATGTCCTTCTATTACGTCAAGATTTTCCTGGCAAAAATGGAAACCTATAACATCACTGGAAAGCAGTGGGTTGGCACCGAGTCTTGGATCACACAAGCACACCTGGCTTCTGTTGACACCAAGCACATTTTGCAGGGGGCGATGGGCTTTGCTCTCCCTCAGGCATCCATACCGGGTCTTGGTGACTTCTTGCTTAGCCTGAAACCGTCTGATGAACCACAGAGTGATGTCGTTAAAGCTTTCTGGGAGAAGTTCTTCGACTGCAGCTTCTCTCCATCAAATACCTCGACTATGTGTACCGGGACAGAGGACCTACGGACAGTCTCCAACGACTACACAGATGTGGAATTTTTCAGGGCAGAGAATAATGTGTATAAAGCTGTGTACTTGTTAGCATACGCCCTGCACGCACTACTGCAATGTCAAAATGACTCAAATCCTACCACAGGAAAGCCCTGTGTGAGCAAGGATGAAGTTCAACCTAAGTTAGTAAGTTCAAATTTGACACAAGCATCGTATACTTGTTATTTAGTGTTTCTATTCTTTGTGGTTAATCTGAAAAATTAAATGTACGAATGCTAAAATGCGTCTCTCTGTAGGTGCTGGAACACATAAAGTATGTGAACTTCACAACGGTAAACGGTGCGAAGGTTTCCTTTGATGAAAACGGCGACTCGATCGCCCAGTACGACTTGGTAAACTGGCAGATGACAGACAACGGCTCTGTCGAAATCGTAAACATCGGTCAATATGATACCTCGTTTCCGGACGGGGAAAAATTCAAACTGAAAAAAGACACTAAGATAGTTTGGGGGGGAAACAATAACGAGGTAATTTCCTTTAACTTGGCAGTCTTTACTTTTGAACAACTTCCAAAATATCGCATTGATTGTGTTTTTTTTGCGACATTATTGAGTTTTTGCGTGCCCTGTTTTGCCTCATCAGGTGCCGAGGTCTGTGTGCAGAGAACCGTGTCCACCGGGGACTCGAAAAGCCATAAACAAGAATAAGCCTGTGTGCTGCTTTGACTGCTTTGAGTGCCCCGAGGGAACAATTAGCAATCAGACAAGTGAGTCAAAATAGATGCCATTCTCCAGCACTGAAATAAGGATGAATGTGTTGTGATTGTGTTTCTTCAACTATCTCTCGCAGATTCTCCAGACTGCCTGATCTGTCCGCCTGAATTCTGGCCGAATGAAAAGAGGGACCGGTGTCTTCCCAAACCTACTGAATACCTTTCCTACAAAGAGATCATGGGAGCACTTCTGACTGGCTTTGGTTTAGTTGGTGTATTTTTATCTCTTCTGATATCAGTAATATTTTTGACCCATAAGGAGACTCCCATCGTCAGAGCCAACAACTCTGAGCTGAGCTTCCTGCTGCTCCTCTCATTAAAGCTGTGCTTCCTGTGCTCTCTGACCTTCATCGGTCAGCCCACCGAGTGGTCCTGCATGCTGCGGCACACAGCGTTCGGCATCACCTTCGTCCTCTGTATCTCCTGTGTTCTGGGGAAAACAATAGTGGTGCTGATGGCCTTTAAGGCGACACTTCCAGGTAGAAATGTGATGAAATGGTTCGGGCCTGCACAGCAGAGACTCAGTGTTCTGACTTTCACCCTCATTCAGGTTGTGATTTGCATTCTGTGGCTGACAATCAATCCTCCTTTTCCCTTTAAAAATATGAATCATTACAAAGAGAAGATTATACTCGAGTGTGCTCTGGGATCACCTGTTGGATTCTGGGCTGTGCTGGGTTATATCGGACTCCTTGCTGTCTTGTGTTTTATTCTTGCTTTTCTTGCTCGGAAGTTGCCCGACAGTTTTAATGAAGCTAAACTGATCACCTTCAGCATGCTGATATTCTGTGCAGTGTGGATCACCTTCATCCCAGCTTATGTTAGCTCTCCTGGAAAGTTCACTGTGGCTGTGGAGATATTTGCTATTCTGGCCTCCAGTTTTGGTTTGCTTGTGTGCATTTTTGTTCCAAAATGCTATATCATTATCTTCAGGCCAGAACAAAATTCGAAAAAGCATTTGATGGGGAAAATACCACCGAGAACTCTTTAGTATGTAATTCAAATAGGTCCTGTATAACAAATGTTGGCGTGAGAGCAAATGAAACAACTTTACTGCATAATCTGACAAATTTTGTAGTTGGACAAGCCAGCGTTGTCATTTGTGTCCTTTTTACTTGTTGTGAGATGTTGAATAAACTGAAAACACTAACTTGAGTCCTTTTTCTTCCTTTGTATTTGAACCTAAATGCTTTAAATACGGATAACATGGAAATCGAAATTTGCAACAGCATTACTTGTTGCTCACAAAATGTCAAATTGTACATGATTTGAACATATGTTATTGTTCTCTTGACTTAATAATGATTTCGCCCAAAATGTTTCGACATAAAATTACTGTAAAAGTGATTTTAAAAAATCAATAAACACAAAACATTCTCCCCCCGTGTCATCATTTGCTGTCAAAGTGTCTATTTGCATTGAAGTTGTTGTTGATCTTTGTAATGTAGTCAATCAGTGGGTCATAGAGGAGATGAAAAATGCACAAACACACTCATGACCCTGTCCCTATAGGGCCTTCTCCCATTCTTTTCCCTACTTTCCTTTCTCTCTCTCACTAAAACGATCCAATAAAGGCACAAAGGCCAAAAAACTAACTTTAAAAAAAAAAGTCCTACTATAGTATGGCGTTTTTGGTAAAAAAGGTCGTGATTCAGAATGTCGTCAAAACGTGTCAGGATGTAGTACACAGTGGAAACAGTGCGATGCATGTTGTAGAAATCACTTCAGGAAAGTATTTCACAAAGAAAAGTCATTCTGGGTTTTGGCGTGGAACAAAAAAAAGTTATACTATAGCATGTCGTTTTTGTCAAAAAA